ATACTGGAACAATTGATTAAACAATAAATGTGTAAACACCTAGAGGATAACAGGGTAATAAGTAATAGCCAGCATGGATTTGTCATGAACAACTTATGCCAAACCAATCTAATTTCCTTCTTTGAGAGGGTTACTAGCCTAGTGAATAAGGGGGAAAACAGTAGATATGATACACCTTGATTTTAGTAAGGTTTTTAACAGTCCCACTTGACATTCTCATAAGCAAACTAGGGAAATGAGATTTATAGTAAATTATTAATAGGTGGGTGCATAACTTGTTGAAAGACCATACTTGAAGAGTAGCTATCAATGGTTCACTGTCAAACTAGAAGGATGTGTCCAGTGGGATCCACTAGGGGTCTGTCCTGGTCCAGTACTATTCAATATTTTAATTAATTACTTGGATAATGGAGTGGAGAGTATGTTTATAACATTTCCAGATGACATTAAATTGGGAGGGCTTGCTACCCGTCAGAATTGAAAATGATTTTGACAAATTGGTCTGAAATCAACATGATGAAATTCAATAAAGACAAATGCGAAGTACTACACTTAGGAAGAAAAAAAAAATCATATGCACAGCTACAAAATGGAGAATAAGTGGTTATGCAGTAGCATAGCTGGAAAAAAATCTGGGAGTTATCGTTGCTCACAAAGTGAACATGAGTCAACAATGTAATGTGGCTGCAGAAAACGCTTATTCATTCTGGGGTCCCAGGAGTGTCATGTGTAAGACACGGGAGGTTACTGTCCCACTCTACTTGGAACTAGTGAGACCCCCAACTAGAGTACTGTGTCTAGTTCTAGGAGCCACTCTTGAGGAAAGATGTGGACAAACTGGAGAGTGTCCAGAGGAGAACAATAAAAATTATAAAAGCTGTAGAAAATCTCACCTACATGGAAAGACCAACAAAACCGGCCATGTTTAGCCTTGAGAAAAGACAACTTGGGTGGGTGAGGGGGGGGGGAGAAACTGATAGTCTTCAAATATGTTACATTGGTATGTTATATGTGTTATATCAGCTGTTATAAAGAGGACAGTTATCAACGGTTTTCCATATTCAATAAAGGTAGGACAAGAAGTAATTGGCTTAATCTACAGCAAGGGAGATTTAGGTTAGACAGTAGGAAAAATGTTCTACCTGTAATTTAAGCACTGGAATAGACTTCCAAGGGAGGCTGTGGAATCTTGTCATTGGAGGCGTTTAAGAACAGGTTAGAAAAGCACCAGCCAGGGATAGTCTAGGTTTACTTGGTCCTGTCTTAGTGCAGGAGGCTGGAGCAGGTCTCTCGAGCAACCTCCTAGCCCTAAATTTCTATGAAGGCTCATTCAGGATACATCTTCATTTTCTGTTTCCTGTATCTCTTATAGAAAATATCTATCAGAGGCAAGATGCAACATTAATCTGATATTTTTAGAAAACAAATATCCACTTGAAATTTTTAGCCACCACTTGGTTACATAATTTTCTAAATTACTCATCGAACTTGCAACTTTGTTCTCAAACTAAACTTCAGCCATTTTTAGTAAGAGGATCGTTAACTGGTATTCAGATACAAGGACTAAATCCTTTGGAACTGGGGAACAAATAGAAGAGGTAGGATTGGCCAAAACAGCAGACATTAATATTACTCTGCTACCCCACTTCAAGTTGTTTCAGCTTCTATGAGCCAAACTAAGACAAATACATGATTTTAGAACTCTTTTCCTTTCAAAAATTCTCTTATCAATTTATTTCTACTGTGAATATTAAGATGCGAAGTCCCCCAGAAAAAACAAGAGCTCAAGTAGCAGGGAATGGATTTTTTTTTAAATCAGCCATTACCATTTCAGACAAAGTTGTTGCTGGTCATGGGTTTCCTAAAGTTCTCTGTTGTCTATCACTCATTTCAAGTTGGGGAGAAATGAGACATATCACGAGCAGCAACAACTGTTACTGAAGTCTCTAAAAACAATTTTATCCATGTATGCACCTGAAAAAAACAGACTTGATCTCCATCAGGTCAAAACGGAAACTTCCAACAAATCCCATGAACCAGATTTCAAACTACGTAATCAGCAAGACCTTTTGAAAGTTGTGATAGCTAATACAAGACTGTTTTGAAAACACTGAAAGATGATATTGAAAGAAAGAGCCTCCCTAAACTCGGAAAGAATGAAAATGCAGAGTTTGTGCAAACACAAAAAAATACAAATTCCAACAAACATCACTCAAGGTATTAACAAAGAAGAATTCAAAATAGGCTATCGTATCACTGAGCGTGAAAACACAAGCATCTGAATGAGGAAAGATATCATACTAGGATATTAACATTTATTCACTCTAGAGTCTAAATTCGGGAAGATGCACATAAGAGTAGCTTCACTAACTTGCCTACCAGTCTTACCTGAAATATATATGAAGAACAAAAGTAGATTTTCCAGTAGTGTCAGTGTTAGCACTGAAGCATTAGTAATTTATTCCTGCAAAGCTTTGAGTAACAAAGGATGTTAGCGTTCAGAAGACTTCATGCCAAATACTGCCATGAATATCTGTGCAGAAATCCAACTGATAGATGTATTTGCACGCACAAAGACCACTGGAATAATTTAGTCCATTTTTTTGTTTCTTTTGCAAATATTATGCTGGATAATAATTTTATGGGATTCTTGCTACTTGGTTAAAATAGATTTCAAGAAACCCTGAGGACTGATATATACTGCAAAGCATTATTTTAGATGTACTCAAACCTTTAAGGTTTAATAAATTTTAAATGCTGAACCTTTCTGTATTGCCTTTCCCATTTGTTCTTTTAAAAAACAACATTCTATACCCCAATTTAGGATTAGTCAAGGGATAATTTTACTGCTTTCATCATAAATTGATGTAATAAAATCTGAAGAAAAATAAAAGCTATTTTCTGCAAATAATCCATGATTAATAGAGCAGAACCTTACGTGAATTGTGTTCATGAAGATTAAGAGTCTGCAACTTAAGTGGATTAATCCTAAAATCAAGTATGAAGCAGACATATACAAAGCAAATTTCCCCAGAAGGCCTCACTAACCTTAAAAAATTAAGAAACTGTTGCTATAAAAACCATAATGTTCTCAGGCATTCAGGTAGATTTTTATATTCACCACAGCTGTCCCTTCAGTTCTGATCTTTAGGAGCCATACTTCACTGAGAGGCAACTCTGAGCCAAAGAGGTTATATATTCCAAGCCTCCACATGTAGAGAACTGACAGTGGTGCTGAAAATCACTTGCTCACAAGAAGCTGTAAAAACACCACCAAATTTAATAAGAACCGTAATCTGGGCTCTTGCCAGCGTCCCAGAACTGAAAGAACATAAAACAATACAGAATTACGCATAACTCTATACTACAGTTCCATAGCCTCTATATTTCTAAATTACGTAAAGTTACCATAAAAAGAAAATACTACAAGGGAGAAGTAATTCTCAGCCTCCCGCATACCATCAATCACATATTTTATATTATCACTGGTTTCTCCTAATAATCCCCACTAAATGTTTTTAAATAATTTATTTATTCCTCAAGCTCCTAAACCCAGCTCATCTGCTATCAGAGAGATTATATGCAAAAATTCAATGCTGCCCCTTAATGTTACAGCTATTACTTCAAATTGCTTTTACTCAAGCTCTATGGATGGCGTGAGCTCCAGTCTCATTCTTAACATGTCCCTACGTGTATAAACATATTGACTTTGCACTGTGTTCCTGTTGAGTATATAAATGGAAACCGCTGGATGCTAGATAATGTTGCTGAACACAAAAATAATCTCTTGGATCCAAGTGGTTATACGGCAAATTATCAGTATTTATTTAATACAACCCTTAGAGCTCATTGGGTATTTTTCGGGTTACAGTCCTTCACTCAAATATATGCAACCAAAAAATATACAGCAATGTTTATTTTTTAAAAGTATTGATGCCATATAAAGGCTTAGTTATTTAAATGGCCATGACAGCTATTTGTTTCCTCCAAGCCTCAAAAATCAAAAAACAATCACCGTCCAAGTTTCAAATTTATGGACAAAAGCTACACCAGCAAAGACATTTTAAATATTTTGTATAATTGTAACATTTTATTTTATATATTTGGAAACAGAAGTCTTTCAGAGCATGCTCCTAGGCTATCTCCATGTCAAGTTTCAATCCAGTTAGAGAGCCCCACGGTATGCATCCGATGAAGTGAGCTGTAGCTCACGAAAGCTCATGCTCAAATAAATTGGTTAGTCTCTAAGGTGCCACAAGTACTCCTTTTCTTTTTGCGAATACAGACTAACACGGCTATCACTCTGAAACCTGGATAGACATTTACCACACTGATCAGGGCTGGGGTGAACAGGGACGAGAGTGATGGAAAGACAGATTACCTGAGAGTTGCCAAAAAGAGATTCGGGCTGATAACAGGCAGGGTGACTGATAGGAGGCCGATCAGAAAACATTTCCAGCAGGGCACAGGGGATGATGGGATGAAAGGAGAGCCCTCTGGGCTGGGAGAGCCCCAGAAGCAGAGGGAGTGACATGGGATGCTAGCGGAGAGCCACGCCAAGGGAGGAAATGCTGGATTCGGGGTTCCCTTTGCGAAAGCCCTGGCAGGAGGGCATAGGGTGACTGAGACGCCTCGACAGGCTAAGGGATGGGGAAGTGAGGTGATAGGGAGCTGCCCCGGTGAAAGCCCCCGGGAGAGGCTCTGGGATAAGGAGCCGCTGCTGATCAGAGAGAACCCGGGGCAGTCACCTCCGCGATGACCGGGACCCTCCCTCAGGCACACCAGCGGCCGGGGATCACACAGCTGGCAGGCAGCCGAGGGGGCCGGGTCGCTGCTGGGGGCCGCGCCGCTGAGCCCAGCTCCTTCTCACAGCTCGCTCGGCGGCGAGGCCCTGGCTCCCCGCTGCGGGGCGCCTGGAGCCCCCCCCGCCCCGGCGGCAGCGCTGCTCCCGGCGCCCCGCCCGCCCCTCGGGGCTGAGCGCGCCGGCCCGGCCCGCGTACCTCATACTGGATGTACTGCTTCCGCCACTCGGGCGTGATGTGCGCGGAGAGGTGCTCGGCGAACTTCATCCTGCCGCCCCTACCCGGCCTCCGCCGCGCTCACTCGGCTGCCCCGGAGCCGGCTCCGCGGGACCCTGCGCTGGCTGGTGCTAGCGGGCCGGTGCTGCTGCCCCCGCCGCCGCGCATGGGCCCCGCTCCTCGCTCCCGCCGCCCGCACTGCGTCCCCTCCTCCCCGCCCGGCTCGGGTCTCCTCAGCGCTGCCCTGCCGCCCACTGCGGCCCCGCCGCAGCCGCCGCCATCTTTCCCTCTTCGCTCCCCCCCGTTCCCCCTACCGCCGGCAGGACGTCATCGCCATGGTAACCACCTCCTACGCCGCAGCGCGGAGACCGGCCGGGGGCGGGGCCTAGAGCCAGGGGGCGGGGCAGAAGTAACAGCGAGCCCCACCCTCTCCGGTACAAACGTGGCTTGAAAGCGAGGAGCGCGGAGAAGCCTTTGGGGGCGGAGCTTTTTCCCCTTCGCTCCGCCCACTCTCCACCCCCGGTCAATGCGGCAAGAGGGTGTTGTGGACGTCGGGGCCGTACAGCTGGGCACAGTCGTGCCAGGCAGGTGCTAGAAGGCAGGGAATGCTGCTGCAGGCCAATGGTGGTAACTCCTCCTCCTCCAAGAATGGACTGGTTGGCACTGCACAGCGCACGAGGGTGATGAGATGCTTCAGTTGAGAAAGGGAGGTTGCACGGTTTTGGACAGTGTGAGCTAGTAGCTAGTGCCAGACTGGGTTACATGTAAGCAGGAGTCCCTGGTTTGGCCAGTATGAGTGGGCTGGGGACAGTGGACTGAACATGAGACAAACAAAGGTCACCCCGTTCCCATTAGCCGGTGTGGAGGGCAGGCTTGGGTCATGGGATGAGCCACCATCATAGTGCAGACGGCTACCTATGCCATAGTGTCTGTGCATGGAGAAAGTGGGAACCCCCTACCGGTATATTATGCCTAGGACTGTACTGAACATTATGCTAGACCAGAATGGACTTTTGAGACACACAGTATCAAGTGGTTTTCCTGAGGAATCTCTACGGGGAGGAGAATGCAAATTCCTCACCCTCTTGGTTATGCAAAATCCCAGCCTTCTGAAGCTATACCCTGCGGAGGGCTGATTACTGATTCCCACAGTCTCAAGATCCAATGCTCAAGCTGTATAAAGGAAAGACTAACCTATTCAGAGTTTGTTAGTTCTGAGGTAGGGTATTCTGAACTTGTAACCACGGAAAAACCCCTTGGTGGGGTTTGAAGGAGTGACTTCTATCAGAATCCTTGTTGGAGTTGAGGGCTAATCTCTGGTAAGCTTGTTGGCATGACTGTACATTCTTTTATTGTTTTTAATATGCTTTCTCTATAATGCTTTCACCTTAAAAATAAATGTGCTTGCTTATAAGAAGTTGTGTGGTAACTTGTGACTGTTAGCAATTACAGCTATTCATAGCCTTTGAAGAGAAAGGAAAGTGCAGACCCTGACTTGTTTAGGCAGTCTGGCTTGCTGGGAGTATCACAGTGTAGGAAGGGAACTGTGCAGTCTGGGGGGAAAAAACCCTGGTCAGAAAGGAGAGAGATGCAGATCTCTGACCAAAAAAGGTGGCAACTGAGGAGCCTAGAATGGGTGCCCTCAAGACACCACAAAAGGGGAATACAGGTACTGTTGTCCTGAACTGTGACAAAAAGGACAAATCAAACCTCCTGCATTTAAGTGCTGTTTTCTTTTACCTGAAGAATGATATTAACTTGCTACAATCATCTATAAAAACAAATATTTCCTCCTAGTAAATTTACATGCACAGCGATTAATGAGGTTTTTTGTCATCAAGAGAAGAAAGCAGTATAAGTCATATTTGGTTTGAGCATTGGCCTGCTAAACCCAGGGTTGTGAGCTCAATCCTTGAGGGGGCCCTTTAGGGATCGGGCCAAAAATTGGGGATTGGTCCTGCTTTGAGCAGGGAGTTGGACTAGATGACCTCCTGAGGTCCCTTCCAACCCTGATATTCTATATTTGCATAGTCTCTGCTGGTTAACTGAACAGCTAGTAGTTCACTACTAACATGGAAAACTTCAGTCTTAAATCAGCTTTTCCTTTAAAAATACAGTATACTTTGGAGAGCCAGTTTGTTCTGTGATATAGCAATAGTTAACAGTCATCTTTGCTCCTAGGCGTATTTCCTCCACTTTGACACTGACTCACTCTGGAATCTCTAGCAAATCATTTAACCTTTCCATTACTTACCAGCTTTATAGGGTGTTGCACGACTTAATTAATGGTTGTAAAGTTCTTCAGAGCCTTGAGTGAAAGGTTCTATGTAAATGCAGAAATTATAAGCATATTATTGAACATACCCGAGTAATCTGTATATTATAGTAACAAACCCACATCCTGGAGCATTATTGAATTTTATATGACCGTGAGCAGAAAAGTACTTTATCTTCAAATTTCTTTTCATATTTCATGTACAGCAAGGTGCTGCTCGCTCTCTGGTCCTAATTCTTCATTCTGTCTGAGCTGAGCTTGGCACTTAGAACGGGGGGCTGTGTGCCTAGCCCCAAAGTTAGTTACAGCAGCTTTGGGATGGCTATAACTTGAGTTCTGAGTGCAGTAGCTTCCTATGGATTGGGGTCCCAGGCCATCCAGCATTTGGCAAGTAGGCTGGTAGCTTTAGCAGAACCCAGGGCTAGACTACAAGTGCGAGCAGATTAGCTCTAGATGATCTTCACTTTGCCGGTTCCAGTCTCACAGTGGGTAAGGTGACCAGATAGCAAGTGTCAAAAATCATGACTGGGAGTGGGGGGTAATAGGTGCCTATATAGGAAAAAGCCCCCAAAATTGGGACTGTCCCTATAAAATCAGGTTTCAGAGTAAATTGGTTAGTCTCTAAGGTGCCACAAATACTCCTTTTCTTTTTATAAAATCAGGACATCTCGTCACCCTAACAGTGGGAGACCAAGTGGGGTGAGGGCAGAGCCACTGTTCCTTGTTCTACCTGTCCAGGGAGGTGAGTTGGAAGGGGACAATGTATCTCTGAATGCTGGGAATGCCCTGTTATTTTTACAAAATCCAGCCTTTTGTCTCTGCTTTTGTGAACCCTGTAAATTGGCCATCTGAAGCAGCTGAGCTCATGCAATTGATGACGAGTGGGCTGAGCACACAAGCCTCAAGGACCCACCTCACCCCTGCATGTTGACATCTCCTCCCACACCCACCTTCCAAAGCACACACCACACCCCCACATCACCTCCACAAAAGTTGCTGAAGCAGCCTTCCTCCACACAACTCCTCATAGTCAAATCCACAGAGTGACAGGAAAAGAGAGGGAGGGGCTGTTGGGCTGAGGAGACAAGTCTTTGTCCCTCACCCTCCCTCCTAGGCATAACCCCCCAAAGTGCTGCCCCCCCTCCCCATGCATCATCACTCCTACCCCATTTGAAAGGTGTCTTGGCTTTTTAATTTGAAAATCTGGTCATCCTAGGTGAATTCTCCTGCCCACCCCCGTTGCACCAAAGAAAGCCTATAGAAGGAGTGAGGTCAGGACCATTCTTCTAGCCCTTTCTAGCCTGGGGAGGAGGATGAAGAGCCTCCCTGGGTACCCTCCAATCCATGCAGCACTAGTGTGAATCAGTAGGGGTGGGGTACATGCATGAGAGGGAAAGAGCATGTGTGTGAGATGGGGAGAGCCGTGTGTGAGTGTGAGAAAGGAGTATTGGAGCTATTGGGCAGGGAACAGATTCAGAATAAGGGAGGAGACAGATGGGAAGAATGAAAGAATATGCAGGAAGGAGGAAGATAGAAGAGAATGGTGGATGAGGGAAATTAGAATGAGGGATAAGACACTGCAGAAAAATGGAGGAAAAGGAAAGTTGGAGTGAAGGAACAGAAATAGTAAAGGAGGAGGAAGAAAACCAAGGGAAAGAGTGAGTTAATTAAATATCTTTAATGCCCAAGCATTACAATAGACAAATACTTAATACTTGTGCAGATCATAGACGTCTACCACAACTGCCTTCAATTTACCAAAGCTGTTTGTGTGTGATTGTGACCGAATGTACTGCTGTATTCACATGCAACACACTATTGTAATAATCTCTGTACAAAATATGCCTTGTGCGATATCATTTGAAAACGAACAACTCACTGGTCAATAATATGGTGAAATGTGTGTAGCAACATTATAATGTAAAGCTATGAACATAAACAAAAATTATGACTGAAATTTGTTTACCAGACAAGTCTGGGGAGGGGGGTAAACCTGTTCCTCAGAGACAAAGGGCAAACTGACACCTCTAGTCAGTTGTCATCAAAGTCGATTGGCTATCACCGGTCTAGTGGCCATTCCTTGGCAACAGAAGGAGACAGGAACAGATTGATTTGCATTTTAATAAACAACAACATGGAACCTCTTTCACCCCGAGACTCCATGTCTCCATCCTCACAGTGAGAGCAAACTTTAGCTATTCGCTCTTTCTTTCCTCTCCCTTTCACCTGAGAAGACAAAGGAACCAGCTTTTGGACTTCGGGAAGGGTCCCGATTTGAGAATTTGGTCAGCCCTGTTGCTCTGAACTTTAAGAAGAAGTAAGAATTTCACCTTGAACCAAGCCTAGTTTGTTAAAGTTCTAGCACTAGAAAATGTTTTATCTTTATTTCCTTTGTACTCATTTCTGACTTTAATGCCTTTATACTTGTACTCACTTAAAACTTAAATAAATTGGTTTTGTTCTTTAATCAAATCCAGTGCTGAGTTTAAACTGAATTGTTCGGTAACTCCAATTAAAGTAGCAAACTGTTGTACACTGATCTCTTACAGGGGCAATGGACCTCTAATATTTGAACTGTCCAGGAGAGGGCTTGACAGTGCAACACACATGTTTTGAGGGAAAATTGGGACTGGGAATATGCTGGGATCTCCCTGTATCTAGTAACCAAGCCTGCTCAAAGCCGGAGTGTGGCTAGTGTGTTGTTGATAAACTGTTGGGGTCAGAGTTGTTGGACCAGGGCTGCAGCTATACACAGACACTCAGGGTGTGACTTGCATGCTTGCAAGCTGTGTGTGGGCAGCCCAGTTTGGGAGCTATAGCAGCAAAGCATTGTGAGGCCTCCCCAAGGTTACAGGGCAGATGCTGAAACTGACACAGCCCCTCACTGGTCTGGATTGCACCCTAGGATGATATAGTAACGACACAGATTGCGCACAAAGGGCTCTGGTAAATCGAGGGGAGTTCTGCT